TTGCAGGCTCTATCCCCTGTAGAGGGCGTGTGGGAAGCAGCTGGTCAATATTTCTCTCTCATCAATGTTTCTAGTTCTCTATCCCTCTCCCTTCCTCTCTGTAAAAATCAATAAAATATATATTTTTTTAAAAAGGCTAGTACGCCTGGGATCTTAACAAATACTGATACACTCAGCACTCCAGCCATACCCGGGGGGATGGATTTACAGCCCTCAGTGGGTATTGGGAGGAGAGTATGACATTCCCAATACAACTGGGAGAAGATGAGAATGAACGGACCCCCGCTGCCGTCAGGTTGAAAAACCGTGGGTTTCTGTTCTGCACTTCGGAATATGAAGCTTCAGTAGGAAAATGGTAGTGATGGTCCATTTTTGCTTTTGGTAAAGCAACACGATGCAAAGATAGACTCACCACCGAAAGACGCCCCATTCCTCACCATCGTTTGATCTGCGGCCACTGTGCCGAGTGTTGTACAGACAACCTCATTTCACCCTTTCGGTAACGTCAAAGGGTATTGAAAGGGGCTATTTCCATTTCACGGATGAGGAACTCTGAGGCCCGGAGAGTTGGAATAATTTGCCCGATGTCCTACAATCCGTAGGTGATGTGCCAGGAGTACAAACGCCTTAAACTTCTGAAAAAAGGCCAAGTGAGAGATGGGCAACGTGAACTGAAAAAAGTAGGGTGGGTACCTTGACCCCTTTGGTGGTCACTATTTCTGGAACTTCCCAGGCTGCCCAACCATTAGACCCGCAGGTACCTCCCAGGCCCAGGCTGAGATCATGTGCTTAAGGCACTTGGCCTAGTGCCTTGCGCTCTGTGAATATTTGTTTCCCTTCCCCAAAGCTGACTGGCGATGGCCCCTTTCTTCCTTGTGGAAGGTGCTCCTTGTCTTTCCAAAGAAGCTACCATCTCACAAGGAGGCAGGTTAGGATGTTCACGCAACATTGGTTGCAATAGTGGAAACCAGAAAACCTAAGTGTCCACCAGTAGGGGATTAGATACATAGTAACACAGGCACTCAATGCAATACTGCACCAATGGAGAAAAGTAAACTTGTATCAATAGGACTGAATCTTGAGCCTAGCATCTAGAGCAGTGGTTCTCAACCTTGGCTTGCACATTAGAATCACCTGGGAATCTTTTTAAAATCCTGATTTCTGGGCCTCATCCTCCGGAAATTCTGTTTCTTTGTTATGGGTTGGGGCCACAACACTAGTAACAAAGAAACAAAATTTCCGGAGGAGGAGGCCCAGAAATCAGGATTTTAAAAAGATTCCCAGGTGATTCTAATGTGCAAGCCAAGGTTGAGAACCACTGCTCTAGATGCTAGGCTCAAGATTCAGTCCTATTGATACAAGTTTACTTTTCTCCATTGGTGCAGTATTGCATTGAGTGCCTGTGTTACTATGTATCTAATCCCCTACTGGTGGACACTTAGGTTTTCTGGTTTCCACTATTGCAACCAATGTTGCGTGAACATCCTAACCCGCCTCCTCGTGAGATGGTAGCTCCTTTGGAAAGACAAGGAGCACCTTCCACAAGGAAGAAAGGGGCCATCGCCGGTCAGCTTTGGGGAAGGGAAACAAATATTCATAGAGCGCAAGGCACTAGGCCAAGTGCCTTAAGCACATGATCTCAGCCTGGGCCTGGGAGGTACCTGCGGGTCTAACGGTTGGGCAGCCTGGGAAGTTCCAGAAATAGTGACCACCAAAGGGGTCAAGGTACCCACCCTACTTTTTTCAGTTCACGTTGCCCATCTCTCACTTGGCCTTTTTTCAGAAGTTTAAGGCGTTTGTACTCCTGGCACATCACCTACGGATTGTAGGACATCGGGCAAATTATTCCAACTCTCCGGGCCTCAGAGTTCCTCATCCGTGAAATGGAAATAGCCCCTTTCAATACCCTTTGACGTTACCGAAAGGGTGAAATGAGGTTGTCTGTACAACACTCGGCACAGTGGCCGCAGATCAAACGATGGTGAGGAATGGGGCGTCTTTCGGTGGTGAGTCTATCTTTGCATCGTGTTGCTTTACCAAAAGCAAAAATGGACCATCACTACCATTTTCCTACTGAAGCTTCATATTCCGAAGTGCAGAACAGAAACCCACGGTTTTTCAACCTGACGGCAGCGGGGGTCCGTATAGCATCTGATCATCTTCCTTATACAGGGTGGGACTTTAGTAAGTTTCCTGCCCTGGCCAGTTTGGCTCAGTGGAGCGTCCGCCTGTGGACTGAAGGGTCCTGGGTTTGATTCTGATCAAGGGCGAGTACCTCAGTTGCAGGCTCCTCCCCAGCCCAGGCCCTGGTCAGGGCTCGTGCGTGCGGGAGGCAACCAATCGATGTGTTTGTTTCTCTCACATCAATGTTTCTCTGTCTTTCCCTCTCTCTTCCATTCTCTCTAAAATTCAATAGAAAAATATCCTCGGGTGAGGATTAAAAAAAAAAAGTAAGTTTACTGTTGTTCGTATGGAAAACAATACAATCACTAATTAATAATAACACAAGAGTAACCTCTGTGCTTCCCATCCTCACAGCTGTAACCCTACCTGCGTCCCACCCTGTTCGCCTCCATCGGCCAGTGGTTTTAGAGCTGGGCTGGAACACTGTACGTGTTTATTTAAAGCCACTTATCACCTATAAATCCGAGCAGAATTTCACAGGAGGCCTGCGGTGCTGCACAGCGGAGAAATGCAACTGCAGGAAAAGGAGAAGAGCAGCGTGCAGGGCAGGCTGACTTTCCATCGGCAAACATTGCCCACCTGCTCCTTCTCTCTCCCCGTCTCCCTGTGTTCACCGGCGAAACCAGCCTCAGAATTCACTAACATGCCCCCTTTTTTTGGGGGGGGGGGGATGGATTGATTTTATTTATTTATTGTAAACTGTAATTAGAAGATAAAATTAAATAAATAAAATTTTGAATGGGAATATCAATGATTGTGTCTGGAAAACAGAAAATGAGAGACTAGCTTGTGTCTAGGTGGTGGAACACAGTTCGTGTGGGCGGGACCTGTAAGGCTTGAAGAGCCTTTATCTTGGGAGGTAAGTCATCTCCCCAAAAGCCACTGCCTATGGACTCGGGCAGGATTTCAAGGCAGATTTGAGGCAAAAGCTTTCTCTAACATGTCACCCTCTAGGTAAAGCCGCCCTTGTTCTAATAATAAACCACGTAAGAAAGTAAGTACCAATATTAAACTGAATTTTTTTAAATCTTCACCTGAGGATATCTTTACATTGATTTTTAGAGAGAGTGGAAGGGATGGGGAGAGAGAGAGAGAGAGAGAGAAAGAAACATCGCACTAACATGCCTACTTTTAAAAAATGGAATGAGAGAAAAATATTATACTGCTGTCTGGGGTTTCCAGAGAGGCTGACATTTCAGTCATATATATATCCTATATAATAAAAGGGTAATATGCAAATTGACCCTAACAGCAGAACCACTGGAATGACTGGTCACTATGACACACACTGACCACCAGGGGGCAGACACTCAATTCAGGGGCTGCCCCCTGGTGGTCAGTGCGCTCCCACAGGGGAAGCTCTGCTCAGC